CCCAAAAAATTGCTGCAAAAATGCCCCCAAAAAGGCCCAAAATTGCCCTTAAAAATCCCCAAAGAATGCCCCAAAATTGCTGCAAAAAATTCCCAAAAATGCACCCCCCGCAAAAAAAAAAAGGAACCCCAGAAAGGCCCAAAAATCCCAATTTTTGAGGGGGGGATCCCCATCCAAAATTTTTTAGGCTTAAAATTCCAATTTTAGGAGCTTCCCATCCCCATTTTTAGGGACTTCCACCCCAAATTTTAGGATTCAATGGAAAAAAAAAATCAAATTTAAAAAAGCTGGAAAAGGGATAAAAAGCACTGTAATGAAAGGAATTCCAAAGGATTTCATGGAAAAATATAAAATCCTAAATCCATCCAAGGAATAATAATAAAAAAAGGGTGGAAAAAATTTTGGGAAATTTGATCCCGATTTTTGGTATCCCCATCCCCATTTTCCAATCCCATCCCATTTTTCCCATTTTTTCCCATTTCCCCCCATTTTTCACCCATTTATCCCAAATTTCCTCCCATTTTTCACCCATTTTTTCCCATCTTTCCCATTTTTTTCCCCAATTTTTCCCGGTATTTTCTGGGATTTTTCCCAACTTCCGCTCATTTTCCCCATTTTTTCCCCATTTCCCCCATTTTTCCCTATTTTCCTCCATTTTTCCCCTTTTTTCCCATTTTTCCTGGGGATTTTCCTCCATTTCCCTCCATTTTTCCCAATTTTCCCCCATTTCTTCACATTTTTTCCCATTGTTTCCCAATTTTTTTTGCATTTCTCCTGGTTCTCGCATTTTTCCCAAATTTCCCCCGCTTTTCCCCCCATTTCCCCCAGATTTCCCCTCTTTTTTCCCCAATCCCCCCCCATTTTTCCAGCGGTGTTCCCATCTTTCCCAATTTTTCCCAATTTTCCCCATTTTTCCCATTTTCTTCCTATTTTCCCCTCCTTTATTCCCCCTTTTTTCCCCAGGTTTTCAGTGGTTTCCCCTTTTTTCCCCAATTTTCCCCAATTTTCTCCCATTATTCCCAGTTTTTCCCACTTTTTCCCAAAATTTTCACTGATTTTTCCCATTTTTCCCATTTTTTTTCCCATTTCCCCCCCCCCCGGTTTTTTTCCTGGGATTTTCCCATCTCTCCCATTTTCCTCCCATTTTTCCCGTTTTCCCCTTCTTTCCCCCCATTTCCCCCAGTTTTTCCCCATTTTCTCCGAG